CGTTTTTCACGATCATGGACTATCAGCGATCTGGCTATTTTCTTCTAACGGAATGCATGATGCCGTCTCGTTAAAGACTACTAGATGTTCACACTAGGCTTTTGCTTTTCATTTTCATCGAGATCGAGAAATGAAGTTAGCAAATAAATAATCGTTGAATGCGACAGACAGGCACCGAAACAGTTATAAAATAAGTAAAACACAGTCTCTTGTATACAAGTTTTATATCCAATCCTTTTCGTGATGTATGTGTAAATGGTTTGTGGATCTTTGGTTAAAATGGTTTGCGCTTTCTAGAAAATGATCTAGAATTTAGTATTTCAACTTCTTGCTGGGTCAGAAGTACTTACAAGACATGCATTTAAACTCTATAGCTTTGGTTGCAGTGTCATAGAGAATTCATCAACTTAGCTTTTCCATATGACAACCAAATTCAATTTTTATTTTTATTACCTTATACGATAGTCGCAGTGAACAGCATTTGGACTGACTCTAAATAGGTTTTGACCGTTGAAATTAATCTAACATAAAAGATAGATATAATCAGATTTTAAATTTGTCATAACCAATTAAGTATATGATCACAAGACGCCACCGACAATAATTTCAGTGGTTGATACTCATTTAGAATCAGGCCCTGGATTGTCCCAATCACCATGAAGAGAATTTTTGATGAGCTTACCTCTCATTTTTAGAAGCCAAACGGTATGGACTATTACTGTAACCTTACCAAACTGTACAAAAAACCTTCTAAACAGCTCCTGTCATGTTTACAGCTTGGAAAAAATCATAAAGGTACATTCTAATGCGGAAACTAACAAATTTCCTTACGCCCTTTGTTTTTGCATAAACGACACATTGTCGAGGGACGTGTGTCCATAAAAGCAGGAAAATTAGATAATAACACATCTCCAGATATAAAATAAGAAAATAAGCTTTAATAGTGTTGTCCTCGTGTGACTCTTGAACGATGTTTCTATCAAAAGCCATTTTGATTTGATGTAACCTGGAAAACAGGAAAACTTTATTATTTAGGAAAAATTTCTAACAAATAGATTTGAGCGTCATATAAAGATATGTTTATGTTCATGTTCATGATAATTTTACTAAAAATTACCAAATACTATAAACGATACTTACTTTGAAATAAAAGCTTGCGTTCTTTTTATAATATTTTCCATCTGTTCCCTATACTGAATTTAATTTATAATGCCGCTTCATATCCCATAAGATCTGTTACCCGATATCAATTTGATGAGATATTGAGTAATCTGTTTATCTTGGATTGGAAAGAAAATGGATCTAAATCAAGATCAAGAATAATAAGGAACAAATGCTGGTTGCTCTGCTGGCTCTGCATCTTCTACAGTCATTACACAACCGCATTTAAAGACAGTATCTTTTATGTTGTGAACTGGGTCTTTGGCTCAGAATATAGTCATTTAGGGACATATCCGAGAGTTTTCAATACCTACGATTGTTGTATTCTGCTTTCCCCAAAAGGGCTTTCTAGTCAAGGTATGTTTAATTAAACAGTTTTGTATTACGGCAGCTTCACAATAAAAGCTCATGACGTAACCTGGGGTTCAGCATGCCACCTACATTCGTACAATGTGAGATGATCTCTCGTCATTCATACTTTGCAAAAAACAAGTCTAGAATAGTCTAGAACAGGGACGATCCACTTTTTTAGGAAAATTACTACTGTATGAGACCCAAAACATTTTGTGCCACACATTTATGCTGGAGAGGGAGATGTAGATAATACAAACACGGTCACTACGCTGGTAAAGTTCCTTGAGGCATAGTTGTGAAAGCTTGCCAATTACTAAGGCAGTATGATAATGTTGAGCATGGAAGAGTATGGTAATCCGTTGCCCTCAGTTTCTAAGAGTTAGCGCGTGAAGTATTGTCAGTCTACTAGATGTCGTCTGAGTTTATCGCTCTGAATATTTCGGAAACCTCCAAATTGACAGAAATAATGTATTTGAACCTGTGCTAGTTGTCAGCAGATCCAGTTGATAGGCAGCAATATTCAGCAAATTAACGAAGCCAAGCTTCACGCGCTATCTTAGATCAGGTTTCTCAATTGCAGGTTGACTGTGACATTATTGCAATCCGAAATTCAACTCTTAAAATGCGTTTTTCACTACCAGGTACGTTTTAAGACGGTAGTTAACTTTAATCTGAAGACCATCTATGCCTTGGGTAGAAAGCTGTACTTAAACCACAATCCCTAAACTATTTTGTTTGAAAGTGACATAACTTGTCACGGATTACTGAGACATAAATACCGAGCATCACGAAACACGCAGAATGCAATAATTCAGCAGAGTTTCCGAATCAACGTTTACAGTTTGGTAAATCAGAGCTTGAAAGAATTTACGGACAAGCACCAGTTGACTTATATTCACAAAACTTGAAAGTACAAGTACAACTTAACTTGACCAACGGCTCTAGTCAACTAAGTGAGGTTGGTAGAGTTTTGAAACACTATATATACGTCATTTAGATCTGTATACAGATTAGCAGCAAAATATCAGTGATACCAAGCATAACAATGCCCCCCACAGCACTGGCTTTTATAGAGGGTTAGCGTGCCTATGGCCATCGCGTGCCCGGTCCTAATGCATATCCTACATCGTTAACCCCGAATCAACTACCTTAAAAGACGAATTTCAAATTGACAATGCATGTTGCTCGGGATTTATTTCCTGTAAGAAGTATTCATTTGGCTGAATTGCCCCGATTTTTTCGGCGGCCCCTAGAAATAAGACTGGAGTTATGGAAGGTTCAATGATCAGAGCAGCATTATTATGGGAATGTAGGTGAGGTAGGTCGATCTATTTATAGGTTATGTTGCCCCAGTTCATGCCACCTAAGAATTAATGTACCTGTAGAGATTTGGGAAGTGTTTTTGTGTTTATGTGGCGTGTTCGGGATTTCGATGGATTGATGCAGGAAAGTAACGGCACAGCGTGCGCAATCGGCGATTCATTTTGCTCAACTATTGGAGTGACGCTGTTGAGTATGAGGATTTGATAATCCGTCAATTTCACTAAGTACAGAGAAAGTGGCAAAAGGCAGTCATAACACCACTTGCAAAAGTAAATAATGCCATCGATTTTAAGGACCTCAGCCCAATTAGTACTTTACCTTCAATGTTCAAACTGTTAGATAAAATTGCAGATGATGAACTTCGTAAGCATCTAGAAATCAACAAAGTTTTGCCTGACACCCAGTCTGAGCTTAGGAAGTCACATGATACATCTACAGCGCTCATTGAAATTTAAAGTGATATACTGAAATTAATAGATGCTGGCATGATAACGCTACTAGTCATGTTAGACTTCAGCAAGGCCTTTGACATGGTGAACCACAGAGTTTTGTGCGAAAAACTGCATTATCATGGTCTAACAGCCATGCTATGGCTTAGTGATAGATGTGTAGAATTGCGTGGTAAAGTGTCTACTTTACGAACTTTGAATTCTGGCGTTCCACAAGGAAGCGTTTTAGGATCTATTTTATTTACTTTTTGTACTTCAGATTTGATGAAACATATATCATCTAACTGAAATGTACATTTATATGCAGATGATGTACAGATTTACAAACCATGTCAACCAACATATGTAAACTGTTTAATATTAGAACTTAATAAAAATTTAGACATAATTGAACACTACTCAAAAAAAACCTTTGATTGAAGCTCAATCCCTTGAAAACCAAAGTATGTTGTGTTGGTTCTAGACTAGTGAATCTAAAGTGTAAACAAGAAATAAATACGAACATATTTTTAAAATGTGTTAACATTGAATTTGTTGAAGAAACCAAAAAGTTGGGAGTAGTACCAGATAAGAATTTAAGTTTTGAAAGTCATATTATAAGTGAGCTCAGAGTATATTATTATAAATACAAATCGCTATGGAGGTACACATTTTTTTATACTCCAACTACCACGAAGGCCTAAGGCCTAAACACCCATGGGGTACCGTGGGGCTATAGGGGGATACAGGCGAAAGGGAGAACGCCACACGGGAACACGTGTGCACGCAACATGCACACATTCTGGCCCCGCCTACGAGATCCGCCGGGTGGTACCTCTGCGTTCGACAGTCAGAGACCCTCTACCACTTACGGACAATCACAACATCCATAGCCAAGAGAAAATTTCTCTTGGGACGGGATTCGAACCCGCACGGCGCACGGCGACTGATCAGGAGACCGAAGGCCGGTTGCACACACGACGGATTTTGCCGCGGCGGACATTTGACCGTCGCCGCCGATTCATCAGTGGCGCTCTGGAGTAGATTAGAGATTACACATTAGGCGGACAAATAAACGATCGGTCAATTTGCCGTTAGCGGTAGCGGTGCAAACGCCAACTGCCACTGGAGCCGACGTTTTTTTTACCGTCGACGCCCAGTAGTGGCCTACGTGACCAAATGCACGATTGCACACACGTCGGTTATTCTACCGTTGGATTAGTTTATTCCAGGGTGTTTTGATTTTTAAAAAGATTTGCAAATTTTGAAAAAGGAACAGTTCCGATTTTAGGTATAATAAATAGCAACATGAGTGACGTGGTTGCAGATCTGGTTATAGATAATGATATTTTAATTTCATTAATCGAAGAAAGATCTGTCTTGTGGGATAAAACCCTCGACATATTTAAGGACAGAGATGCCACGAGAAACGCTTGGCGTGAAGTTTGCCTGGGATTGCATAGCGACTTTGATCAATTGACTGAAAAAGATAGATCTGTTTTTGGTAAGTATCTACTTATTTATTATCATGCAAGATATTAAATCAAAAAAAAATTGGTTGCTACGCCCATTTTTGCTCAAAACTCGTTGAAAATTAACATTAAAAATATGCAAAAGGTATACCCAAAGGCGTGAATTTATATGCGAATATTATTATCTAGAGCCGAAAATTATTAAACAATAAAAACATTATTAAATACATATAATATTGGAGTATAAAGGTGAAAATATCGTTGAAAATCTAATGCAGGACTTTTATGTTTTCTTATTTTTTAACGCTTAATGGATAAATTTCAACAATAAACAGTAGAAAACAAGGTATCCTAGTCCTATTATTTATGCCTAAGTATATTACACCAAATATGTGAACATTGATATTTTATTTTGATTAATTGCCTAATGCAAATACGCATAAAAAAGACTCAATTTAGGGAAATTTAGCATTTATAGCGAGTAAAACTGACCACTGACACTTCATATGATGAAGTATTCTTCATATTTGTCTTGTAGGAAGTATAGCATTTTCCAATTGTATTGGCAGTAGCGGATAAGAACAACGAAATCGCAAATCGTTCTTCTGTTTTGCTCAAAAATAAAGCTAACCTGTTTATTACAATTTGTTACACTTTTAAGACTGAGTGATAGTAACGTTCAAAATTGTGTTTAACAAATTAAAAATGTGTCGTGATTTTTGTTTTCTATTTTCTAGTTGTTTTTTTATACTATTATTATAATTATAAACTGTCAGAATCTGATGGTTATCTATCAGAATGACCTTTTAAATTTTGGACATCTGCCATGGAACACTTCCTACACTTGAAACAAAATATTGACATAGAATGTTTCTTATATTATTTGCTCGAACACCTCCTCTTGTAGTAGTCTCTCCTTGAACTTCTTCTAGCCCTATGATTGTCGTTGTATCCTCAATCCTGTATCCGTCTCTGTCTCTAACATAGTTATGGAGAATAATGCAAGCTTTAACAATATCATTAGCAAGTTCTGGTTGGACGTTCAAGGGTCGATGAAATATTCTCCATTTGTTGCTGAGAATGCCGAAAGCGCATTCGATATACCTTCTTGCTCGACATAATCGATAGTTGAAGATTCTCTTTTCCACGGTTAAATGTGTCCCACCATAGGGCCGTAGCAAATGTTTATGTAACCCAAATGCTGCATCCCCAACAATAAAATATGGCACTTTCGGACCTTCTGTGCCTGGTAGACACTTCTCTTCAGGAAGATTGTTTGAACTGCTTTCTATTGATTTCCACAGCTGAGTCTGTTTAAACACGGATGAGTCACATTCTTTGCCATAGCTACCAACGTGCATAAAAACAAAACGGTACTTGCTATCTGCAATACCCATTAGCACAATTGAATGGTAGTCTTTATAATTAAAATACATAGATCCACTATGTACTGGATTGACGATGCGGATATGTTTCCCGTCTACTGCCCCTATACAATGAGGAAAATTTGCTGCTTGTTCAAAGCCATTTGCTACTGATTCCCAAACTGCCTTGGTGGGGGAAGGTATGCACTCGCTATGCATAACCTTCCACAGTGCTTGACAAACATCTCTAACTATTACTCTTGCTGTTGAGATCCCTACTCTGAAGGAATAATGAAGATCGGTGAAAGTACATCCACTTGCTGGATATCTGAAAACAAAAATCTAAATAAAAAAATAAACTACTGATAAAATTAATCAGCACAACAATATGTTTCGTCATTATAAGAGACTTCAAACAAATACGAGTCTAGTTAAAATGTGGTTTCAACACCCAGTATATCGGTCAGGAGGATAATAATTTGTGATTAACGGATTGACCTACCTTTTTGTAACAATCTGTATAATGCTTGCTTAAACTTTTAAGTTTGCTAAAAGAACTCTATCGCACCGATTGCAGCTAGCTAATGTAGACCGAAATAAATGTGTTTCTTTTGTAGGTAAGGAAGTTTTGAAACGATGGAAACATCTACGTGACGCCTTCGCAAAAGCTGAAAAGAAGGCAAAGCAAAGCAAAACTAGTGGCGCTAAAGCTACCAAAATAAAAAAAATACATATATAACGACGAACTGCAGTTCTTGAAAAAAATATATGATAATCCAGAGACTACAGAGAGTTTCGTCACAAAAGACAACAAGGAAATCGACGCCTCTGGCCACCAACCTCCTGAGAGCCCGCAGAACACACAACATGAAATACGCCAATCAACAGTAAGAAAGGAGAAAGCTCTTTCCAATGGTCAACCACCAAAAAGACGTAAGAAACTCGACGATGTAGATTTGAAGATTTTAAATGCACTGGAAAACAAAGAACCTGAGAATCCAAACTCACAAATGTCCTTCTTTCAAAGTCTGCTGCTGCACACAGAGACTTTTGATAGTGATCAATGGCTTCAATTCCAAATGGAGGTTCTACAGGTCATTTCTAACATTAAGAATCAAAAGTACGCAGCTCTTTAAGGCTACACTACACAACGCGCTCCCCAGTTTCAGCAGCAGAGTCAATCAATGCCATACCATTACCAACCACAAACCTTTCCACAGTCACCTCAACAATGTTTCACAACTCCTAAGAATAATTCGTCCAACTCACGCCAGCCACATTTCCAACTTAACGACCCACCATCGCTTCCGTCAGTTTCTTCTCAACATGCACTACCTACTCAACCACTCCAACCAAGGCAAAATCACCCACCTTTAACAACTTCATATTCGTATCCCCAACAACCTCCACCTTTTGACCCAAAATCGACTTCCTCACTTTCTCAAAATGACCTGTCTACTCCTCGATACCAACCAAGGCAAAAAAATCACAAAACTTTCATAACTCTGATTCCGTCTCGCCCACAACCTCCAGCTTCACCAACACCGACACTCTCACCTTCTCCTCAAAATGACCTGCCCACATCACCAGCCCCATCAATGTACGACAAAGGAGTTACAGCAGCTGACCACTACGAAAACTTTTCTGACTTCCTTGAGGAAGACGACTGTGCAAGAAGTTCATCAGTGGTTTCCCAAAATTCTAGCATAATGGACTCCAACTTCTAATTCTACATTGTATTCTACATTATATTAGATGTTGTATATCGTCGCTGATCTGGCAAAGTGGCGAAGCGTCAAAATTTCAAATCTGTCTTATATGTATGCCAGATCGTATATTAACAAACTAGGAAGCTTCTGGTGTGCTCAAAATCAATTTGATTTTTTTTGACGCTCACACTACTTAGCCCGATCAACGGCGATATTTAATAACCCAACATTTTCCTATTGCCACGTGCCATATACCGCAGCAAATGTAAAACACAAGTTTCTATTTTAACTATTACTATCATTAGGCATCAATATTATTATTCTCAGCATTTTCTTGCCATTTTTTATAAACGAATATTCAGGTGCATATTCACCTAAAAAGCGAGCATGAGCGAGCAAGCATTATACATCAACAATCGACTAGTGGGAACAAACATTTCTTTGTTCGCGTTCACTAGTCGATTATTGATGCAGCATGCTTGCTCGCTTATGCTCGCTTTTTCGGTGGATACACACCTTAAAGAAGTATCAATGAATCTAAAATGTTAATTTTTAACGGTACTGAATTACCAATTGTACTATTATATTATTCCATTCATAATTATTTCAAATAAAAATTAAGGAAAAAACAGTAAATTTAAATTTTTACGTACCTCAGTGTTATTGCCAGCATTTCTATGGGCTGAATGCAATTCCTCATTTTCGTATTTTTGCGCTGAATGCTATCTTTTAATCGCTCATGCAGTTCGTCAAAGGATGTAATCGACATTCTGAAGTAATTGAAGAATTTTGTGTCATCGTTCCTTAACTGTTCAAACAATGTGTAGAAGGTCCCAACTTTCTGCCTCATTTTATTAATTGGATGAACCCATATGAGCCGATTGTTTCCTCTTCTTTTCATTCGACGACGGAATAACAATAAAGCTATGAGTTGTTTTCTGTTCATTTGCAAAATATTATATATTTCGATAAAAACGCAGCTATTTCCGTGTAAACAACTCCACCCGCGGTCAAGTCGCGAATCCAGCAAAAACAGAGTGTGCGGCGGTGACAACCGCCGTGTATGTATATGTGGCTAACTCTGTGGGCGGCGACGGTCAATTGTCCGCCGCAGCAAAATCCGCCATGTGTGCAACCGGCCGAAGAGTCTACTACTGCGGCCACCGCCGCTGCCTGAATAAGCATATACAGGGTTTGTCCGAAAAGTAATACGACTGAGTCGATTTAAAAAAAATTATTGAGCCAATCGTCACAATTCTTTAAAAACTTTCAAAATAGGCTCCTTCTGCGTCGATGCAGCGCTGCCAGCGCGATTTCCAAGCCTTGAAGGCATCACGGAAGGCATTCTCCGGAATAGCCTTGAGAGCCACGGTGCATGCTGCTTGGATCCCCTCTGTCGTCTCAAAATGCTTGCCTTTCATCGGCCTTTTCAGGCGAGGAAACAAAAAAAAAGTCCGAGGGGCCACATCTGGGCTGTAGGGCGGCTGCGGAAGCATTGGGATGCCGGCCTTGGTCAGGTAGCTGTTCACAGGAAAGGCGGTGTGAGCTGGAGCGTTGTCGTGGTGCAACTTCCAGTCGGCTGCGATGTCTTGTCGGACCCGACTGACCCTTCGTTTGAGTCTCCTGAGCACTTCCACGTAAAACTTGGCGTTGACGGTTTGTCCAGGAGGAACAAATTCATGGGGATGCCTTTGATGGCAAAAAAGACAATGAGCATCGTTTTCACTTTGGATTTGCTCATTCTTCCCTTTTTTGGGCGAGGAGACGCCGTCGTGTGCCACTCGGAAGATTGCCTCTTTGTCTCGGGATCATACTCAAAGATCCACGACTCGTCACCTGTGATTACGTTATTCAAAAATTGGGAGTCACTTTCACACATGTTCAAATTTTATAGGCACACTTCCACTCGCCGCAATTTCTGGTCGTCAGTGAGCACTTTTTTGACCTTCATCGCGCACAGCTTGCGCATGTCCAAATGCTGTGTCACAATGTCATGAACGACAGATTTTGGTAAATTAACATCTGGGCAATTAAACGAATACTTAGTCGACGGTCTGAGTTCGAAACACACCACTTCTTGCTAAAGCAACACCTGGGTAAGCCTGCTTGATCATATCAAACGTCTCTGTCGCAGATTTACCGAGTTTCGAACAGAATTTAATCGCGTACCTCTTCTCTAACAAACGCTGCATTTTCGGCTTGCACCACTCACAGAAACACGTCGCGCGAAAATGCATGTCATGTCTCTCCAAGTGCTCGGAGACAACTGACCAGACGCTCATTCATTAGCTAGGAACTCCCTCTACCGAATCCAGTCGGTGCGCGCACGCTCCGAAGTACAGTCATGGCGGAAGAAAATGACTCCTATTACTTTCCGGACAAACCCTGTATGAACAAGTGATATCAAACTAAAACTTGTCAATGCTTTACTCCTCCTCACACATTTAGATTATTGTAGTGTTGTATATTAACTCTTTTCTCACTGGGAAAATGCAACAATAAATTCAAGTTTTACAAAACCACTGTATGAGATTTTGTTTCAATGAGATGAACAGACGCGAATACATTACTGGATACTATGTAAGGAAAAATGTTTTAAAGTTCAAAAATCGGTCGTTACTTGTCTATGCTATTCTACTATTTAGGGTTTTGAAACATAAATCTCCGAAATCTCTTTTTGACGCTTTAGCGAAAAGATCTTCACTCCATCAACCGCTCCTCCGTAATAAATATGGCTATAATATACCAGCCCACACTACCTCAAAATTTAAAAAACGTTCCTATTACATAGCGCCCAAAATACTAAATATATACCCAATTGCTTCCAAATTAACGTCCATTCACAGTTTCCAAAGAATGCAAGTATAGTTACAATTTAATGAATCTACATCATAAATATTATTACATATTTTAAGGTGTTGTCGGCACCATAATTGTCAGCTACATGTTCTTATATGTGATGTATATGATATGCCCTAGTAAGATATAGTAATGCACTTAACGAATCATTTTATCTACCTTAGCATACAAGCGGGGGTGGAACATGGCTATACCAATCTGCAGCCTTTTGGAGTATTGTTTTTTTTTGTGTTATATTACTTGCTCGTATTTTGATTCTACTATGTAATAGATATAAATAATAATAATAATAATTATTATTATTATTACTAATATTATTATTATTATTATTACTCCACTTTACGGCTTTGAGGGGTCAGCTTTTAAAGTTGGGACTATCGATAATTTCGTTATTGAAGAAGATATCTGGTTTGTGGTTGGTATCGACAAAAAATTTAGGTAATGCGATATTTGCTTGCAAGATACGCCAAATAGTATGCAGGGTTGGGAATTTACAGAGCGTACAGGTCAGGCAATAATAAGCATCTCTTTTTAGTAACATATTTAACAAAGCGTTGAAATAACCTAGACATTAGGTTCCAAAAAGCAATAAATGAGCCAGTACAAACCTGTCACCCTTCACTAGCACAATCCCCTCGTACATCATAACGTATGATGTTGTACTAAGATTATGTGAGTCAGTGCTCAAATACAGCGTCGCGTGGTGTCTAGGTTAACCCAGATTATAAGCAATTTAAAAAACCGAAATTGGCACGTTCGTAAAGCAATAACGTAGTTATTGATTTGATACGAGCATGTTCAAGATTCTATTGATGCTCCGCGAGTGTACTCAGAACGTCGCTGTCGTCCTCGATGTTTCTTTCCATCAGAGCTGTAAATGTTTGTTTTTATCGTGTAGAAGCCGTCCGGCTGAACACAGTTGGAGGACTAGAGAGCCCCAAATATTGCAAATTCAGGCAGAGGTAAAAAAACTAATGTTTTTGAATCGAACTTCGAGCAGTGTTTACAAACAAAGCATGTGGCAGGGCAGCACTTGAAATTCTATACTATACCAAATGGGCAGTGAGTATTTTTCTTCAATTTCTTTTGTACGTTTTTGGTGTTGTTTTACTGCAAATTAGCTTCGGTATTGCAAATGTAGTTGGCTCTGAAAAGGAAAGTCCCAACTTTCAGGATACCCGGTATATAAATACTAATTTGTTCGTACTAATGGAGTAATAAATGCACTGGCAAAGCTGAAATACTTGAGTATACAGTGCGTGATGTGGAAAAGCTAAAAAGCCCTTATTGATGTTACTTTTGAACAAGCTTGTTCCCGATGAATGGAACTCGACCTAAATTGACTGAGAAACAGAAGCTTGGTGAGTGTGGTGGGCTTAAAACGTCGCGGCGACTTGGGAGAGGGCTCAGAAATACAAACTGCAATAACATACACAAACAAAAGTGAATATAATCGCCCGCCCGTGTTAAAGAATCTAGGGACATGTTTTAGACTGGTGTTATGGGAGAAATACGGTTTTCTCCACCATCTCTCGGCTTAGCTTCCTGCAAAGTTAACTTTTCTTCTGATCGTGTCACATCAAAAACCTTCATGATAATATCTCTGTAGCCTGTATCACGGGAAGCGAAAATTTCTCACTCCATAACTCCATTAAGCAATATTGACCCTATACACATAATACATACATTCCGACCGCTCCGTTTACCACCATAGTAGTTATTATTCTCCCCTACGTCGTCGGAAATTTCATTCCGCCCTTATTGTACTTCTCTCACCCTTGAATGACTGACTCGAAAAAAAAAGATACAAAGAAAATACCTTTAGCTGTATCCTAAGATATTCTTTGATGTCGGCGTATAAGACGCTATTTTTTCTGTTTCTGTGAAATGTTCTTCGGTACAGACATAACGCGTACTTTGACTTTTCGACATATGTCGTATTGAGATGATCTTGTGCTTACATTTTCTTTCGCCAGGAGTATAAAGTCCGTCGCGACCCTTTTAATGGATTGGATCGTTTGAAGGGACTTTTTAAAGTACGTCTCTATAACTACAAGTAGTTGTCAATGTAACTGCCAACACTAGAAGATGAGGATGTAATCCGGTACATATTTTTCATTTTCGTCGTCATTCGTTATTTGCTGTTGCTTTCAAAAATAAAGTAACGGTAAGCTTAACAATAAGTTATTTTCACCTTAGCGGTCATAAAAACTCTCAAATAATGTAACAATAGGTTTAACAATTCGTTATTTTTGTTGCACTAAGAACTCTCTATTATTACTTTTGAAGTTAGGTACGAGAGGGGCGGTCCATTCAGAGAAAGTATATTTATTTTCCCCAGTAGTGCAGTTTTGGGTTTACCGTGTTGGTGACTAAAAAATTTGAGTGAATGTGCTCTCTGGATTGGGTACAAAGTAGCAGAAACATCCTTTTGCTTAGAAAATGTGTATGTTGAATCAATCGTAACTTTATTATCACGTAGTAGTAGTAACAAATATATGAGAGACTAAATTAATTTCACGCTGCTGCTTATGCCGACTTCTTTTTTATCCTGTATGCCCGCTGATGAATACATAACGTCTACTACTATAGTTAAGCAAAAGATATTAAAAAATTGAACAGTTGATGACGAATAACGCTATCAGAAAGTATCAGGGACAAAATGCCAATATTTCGAGCTTTGAGGTCTCAAAGAACAATGAAGTACTTGGAAAAAAATGTTTATGGAAGTTTAAAATACATATGGCTTCCAATATTTATATTCAAAAATCTCATATATGTAATTAAGTTAAAATTTGAGGTGTTTTCAGTGCCAGATCCTTTTATATTGAACAGGAAACAAGTTTCACGCTAGAAAGCATATCATATTCTTAATTATATTATATCTCTTATATATTGTATGATATACTTTTGTGTTGCTTAGCAAGGTAACCATGTCAAAAGCAAACATGATGCTCTTGTCTAGCCAATCATGGAAAGCTGTTTCGGGCTTAACGAACGAACAAAAGCATCGCAACTATCCCCTATACCGGTGGTACGGTATATCGAAATAATACAGCGCAAAACGCCATCTATCACACCAGAATCGACCACTGCGGAAAGCGCATAGCTGCTATTAGTTGGACTTGTTAAGGATCTCAGAACTGCGATATCAGAACGTCCAATATATTTTTATTACAGA